TCTTGTTCGATGATACACTACACTGCACTAGACACGGAGAACAAGTGTAGAATTGGTCGAACTGGTTCCCACTGAGCTGAGTCTGAATTTAGAGCCCCCCCCCAACACCAGCCTCATTCTGGTGTTAAATGCCCCCGCCCCCCACAGACAGTCTGCTGCAGGTATGGAAAGCACCATGGGCTGCAAAAGTGCACAAAAAACACAGCCCCCCCAAACCACCAAAAGAGAACTATTCCCTGTGAAAAAAGTAGCGGGAAAAATATTTGCTGGAGCAGCTTTGTAAAGTGGGTGTGTGGGAGATGCAATGCTTGTGTACACTTTTGTAGCCCTAAGGTACCCCAAACCCAGCATCCAGTACAAAAAAAGCATGCAAGAAAAGAGGGAAGCTGTTGCAACAAGCACCAAAAAATTGAGGGGAAGCAGTGCTAGCAAGGCAGAAGGCAGGAAGTCTCTGGGGTCCTTATGCATGAAAGCACTTGGGGGTAGCCTGAAAGGTACTCCCACACACAGCGCCCTGTGGAAATAGTGTGCTGCCAAAAGGATGACCCCCCTTCACCCAGCCTTGGGAGATGCTTATGTACACTTGGGGAGACCTGAGGGGCTTTGCACAGAAAAGATTGGTGCCAAAAAAAGAGCACCCGGGCACATGGGGGGTTAGCTTTGAATGGAAAGATTTCACACCTCAGCTTCCCTGAGCACCCATCAGCCCTCCTGAGTCCTCCAAGCAACTTACATCCAGGAAAAGAGAGTGTCAGTATTCCCACAGCTGGGTGTTGTCCTAAAGTGCCACCTGGCAGTAAGGTAGGACTGAAAGGGCAGGAGGGTAAAATAGTTCTGACATGCCTTCTAGCACTTTTTACTGGTCATAGTGTTACACAAATTGCCAATTGCTCAAATCACAAGTGAGACTTTATAAAGGGGGATAAGGCAAGGTGCCGCGTTTATAGATTACATGAGTTAGACATAGAGGTTCAGGCACACCATTCATACAAACACACACAAATCATCATACACATCATTACCCACAGGCATACACATACACAAAACAACCATTTCATCCACACACACACCAAATATAGTTATCAGCAATAGTTGCTCAATATCAGCCCAGGGTGGCCAACCCAGACTTATTGAGTAGATGATGATGATTTGAAGATAGCAGATTTAAAGATAACAGCTGGAACAGGGTAAGCAGATGCATCTATGCTCCAAAGAAACAGCAGTAGAGAAAGAAACTCACCCAAATTGGCATTTTCAAAGTGTTCTTTTATAGGGATTGGCACCCTTTGTTTTAGTGTTTTGGGGTTTTTCCATACGCAGCTTCTGTTTTTGAAGTTGTTCTTTTTGTATCTTTAGCTTATTTTAGCCAATTGATGCTGTTGGAGGGAGCACTGGGGAAGGTCCCTCAGTCAGGATCCTGGTCCTTGCTCACACTGGGAGTCTGGAGTCTGTGCTTGGAACAGCAATGACCATTCTGTTCCATCCTTCCTACTGGTCACCTGATGTGTGTGTTCCTTTATATCTTGTCCTATGCTAATCTGTTGGCTTTAGAGCCACTTATAATCTTACCCTACAGCTGTTACCCTATGGGGTTAAAAGGTGTTAGAAATTATCATAAAAGATTACTGCCTAAATTTGGGTTTATCCAATAAGCAAATCACACCACATCACTTTGGAGTCTGAGATTAGAATTTTCTCTGCCCCTTGTGGTCAGGTTTGTCATTTTTACTGACCTTTAAGAAAGAACTGTTAGGTCAGCTAAAGTTTGCAGTTTTGTTTTCTAGTTCTGCTTCTTGGGCCCCATGTTAGTCTTATGATTGGTATAGACAGTTAATTTTAACATTACGGTTATACTTATGACAGACAGGATATGTCTGCAGGAAACAATCTTGCAAGCTTTGCTTTAGCTAATATGAACTATTATGTCATTGCTAGATGCTCTCAAGAAGCAATTTTTTTTTGCTATAATTTGCTTATTAACCCCTTTAGTTCTGGCCATCACAATCCACCCCTTGCTTCTTGGAGCATCTGCAATTGTTTTACAAATATGACTCTTGCCAGGCAGCATATGTAACATTAGTACAAGCAACACCATTTATTTTGGCATAAACACGAGGACTGTTGGAGTAATTTAATTGGGCTTCTGACCTATTTGACTCGAAAAACAGACAGAAACCAGAAGGCTGATACTGCTTATTTCAGTTAAATGTTCTGAGATAAGAAATCTTGCATGCCATGGTCTGTCTTGATATATTGTCCTGTGCACAAATATTTTGTTTAAGTAAACTTCCTAAATGTCTGTGTAATTTACTATTGTTTTGTTTCTCCAAGGTTGTATTTTTTTCCTCCTTCTCTGTCTTAAGTATAAATATGCTTGTAAACTTAGAGAGTGTGAGAAATCCTTTGAAACAGACAAGTGGGTGATTCCTCTTGCTGTATGGAATTCTCCCTGTGATCACAGTATAGCCCTAAATAAAGAAAAGCTGGCTCTGTCAGTTCTGATTCAACCACAATGCGAAGTTTGATTTCTTCCACAGGACCAATTTTATAACAACAACATCTAAGGATTATATTGAGCAATATTTGTCCTACAGTTAAACCTATTACTAGTGCAAACCAAGGAAAGGGAGCACCTTTAGTGAAGGTATACATTTGTACAGTACAGGCTACTTCATACCACTTACATGATGGGGGAATGTTAGTAGCACATTTAATAATTTGCCCTCCCTCTTGGTCTATGAGGGCAAGTTGTTTACCTTTCCTGGAGTCTTCAAGCAATTTTTTTATGTAGGCTGCTACCTCATTCCACCCTTCTAGGTGGGGCATGTCTACATTTTGAACCCAGGATTTTGGAAGACTTAGGTTGAGGGTGAACCTTCCTAGTTGGGTCTTTGGCCACATTAAAGTAGCTTCCTGGCTGTGGACATTTAAAGTATCTGATGCTCCTTGAAAAACTTGAGCTTCTGCACAGCAGCTGGTGCAGGAGGTCCAAAATGTACTGTTGGGATAGTACAAGTGGCCAGAACCTTCCCAACAAGCTTGGTGAACTAGGGTAATATAGGGAATCTTTGGTAGGGGTGTTGTACAAAACATGTTGGGGGGACTATTGGGCCAGCCCCTTCATAAAGTTCCCAAGCCTATTAGAATGCCATACACAGGGTACACCAGGGATTGAGCTAAATACTTGGGGCCTTCCGGGGTTATAATTTCCCAAAATGGGATGATGTAAATCTCAGTCTGACATACATCCTCCCCCTAGTCCTGTTGTTAAAAGCAAGTGGACCATGTGCCATTTGCTACCCCATGTACAACAAAAAAACATTTTGTCTTGCTACACCCCTCCCATCGTGTGCTCCATGTGTCTCGGTAAACTAACCATTGGGTCAAAACTGGGGGTAGTCCATGGCGCTCTAAGCCAGCAGGCCATTCTTTGTGTCTGAGATCTCTCATCACCTGGGAGAAGTGAAAGTTAAGTGAAAGCTGCACTTGGGCACACGCAGTGCTCCAGGTTTGATTAGCATCAGCTTGAAAGGCTGCATGCATTACAATCATAACCCCTTTAGTGATCAAACCTATGGTTTGTTGTATATCCATGATTCCTTGGGTGTTTTTCTGAGATTTATCTATGTTCCAAACTCCCATGGCCAAATTAAGCCCCTTCCATACGTGGTCTAGGATACCTCTTTTCTTTTGGGTGCTTGGAGGCTGTTGGGCTGCAGGTTGGAAAATGGTTGGCCAAGCCCAGCGCAACATATTCTCTGCCAACCAGGCACTGGCAAAGCAGTTGGGGACTGCTGTTCTGATAAACCATTGCTCAGGGTTAAAGGTGATACGGGCATTTAACAAGGAGACATTAAGGAGAACTGGAGCTCTGGTCTGGGACCTCCACCATGGGGTGACATTAGACAAGCGAGGCAGCAGGTACACCTGTGGTGGCTCCTTTCTGATTAACATTGTGCATCCCTGCTTAATGCAAAAAATGGACAGGGGGTCTCCCGTTTGAGTGCTTAACCATTTCCCTTCTTGTCTCTGGGATTGGTAAACTTCCCAATGGGGTTGGTCTATCTGCTGGAGTGAATCTCCATCTGTGTACTTGAACACACACTGTCCAGGTACCACTATGGCATGGATATCTTGCAAAAATGATTCTGGCATGGTGCCCCCCATGGGATCAGCCAGTTCTTCTGGGTTGACTAGGGCTGTGCCCTGCAGACTTTCCCAGACTGTTTGGTGATATGCGGCTATTGTATATTCAGTTCTGTGAATGTGCCCCCCTTCATCCATATGGCGGAACCACAAAATATCCAGAACATGGGATGTGTTGGCTTCCCATTCCATGGACCACCACTTGACAGCATAAGAGCCATTTTTAAACCACCATAGTACCTTGCTATACCTGGAAGACCAGTGTATTTGGTGAGCTGTACACCATTGTGCCAAAGTATCATCGGGCAGGGGAACCGCTGGAGCTATCGTTTCCCATGGAGGTGGGATCAGAGGTTTTGGTCACCTTTTTGGGCTCTGGGTGGTTGTAGAATTTAGAGCTGCAGGTGGGGTTGCAGTAGTGGTCACATTGGGACCTGGGGTGGGCAACATAACTTCAGGCAGAATGTAACAGCACCAGGGCCATTGGAAGAAACCACAACAATCTCCCCCTGTCCCACACTCATTTTTCCTGATCCTGGCATATGGGAGGAAACTGAGCAACCACCCTGCCCCACAGTAACATTGACAGATTTCCCCTTGCCAGTCCACAATCCACCACCAGTGACTGAAAGGCCAGTTTTGCACTTCTTCAATTGCAGCTGGGTGCTCCTAGTATCCCAGCATGTCTGAGGCCTTGGCAGTGGGTGGAATCTGGGGTGTGGGAGCATGGAAATGCTCCACATTAGTCATACAATAGCAAACAACTAGCAGTCCCATCATGATAGCGTTCCACCCCTTCATTGCTGGATGAGGGTGGCGGCATTGCTCTGGAGCAGGGTGATGAATCCAGAGTGCCCTGAGGCTGATACAGCTGTGCCCACGGATGGACTCAATCTGCAAAAACAAGGAAAAATGGAGTCTGGCTCCCATTAGATGGATCTGACCTCGACACCCACCATGAGTTATGTGTGTCCTGTGCCATTAGCACCCCTTCCCATTTGTCTCCCTGTGGATGCGTAACTGCTACCTGGTCTCCTGCCTGGAGTTTCCCTCAGCCACCCCTTGGCTGTTCCACTGCCGGCTCGCAGGTCCTGCTTTGACCAAAGGCTTGCTGCATAGGGCTTCCTCTGGCATGGGGCCGATTGTTGGCCCAGTTGACTGAGCGATCCAGGTACAGGTCCCAGTCCTTGAAGGCCGAACCAGCAGCCATTTGCAGGTTGGACTTTAAGATACAGTTGGCTCGTTCTACTAGTCCATGAGATTGCGGGTGATAGGGAATGTGATAGGTCCACAGCTCTATGGGAGGTGGGTAGATGGCCAACAGGTTTTCCAGTGCTGCACAGGTGTCCTGTGCAGTGGCCATGGTGGAGGCCCGGGCAAACACTATTCCGGTGGCTGCTTCCACTGCTACAAACACATACTGTCACTTTCTGGGGGTGTGGGGAAGTTGGCCTATAAAGTCGCATTGCCAAACTTGCCATATTATCTTTCCATCATGTAACGACAAAGGGGTAGTTGAGGCAGAGTTAGTCGGACCTTGACCTCCTGGCAGGTGATGCAGGAGTTGACCAATTCCTGTGCTTTCCTTTTAGTTAGGTGAATGCCCCAGTTGGCTCCTAGGCGAGAAGTACTATCACTTCCAGGGTGCCCATGCTGCTGATACAGCTATTCTGCGGCTAGCATTCCAGGGGTCTGCTTGAGGGAGGGGCTGGGCACCTTCTGTAGGGGTGGCTGAGCCTCTGCTTCAGCAACAAGGGCTTCTGTGCTGTCTTTGGCTAGCTCATCTATTTGCCTGTTCCACTTTGCTTCAGGGCCTTCAGTTCTCTTGCTCCCATGCACTGCACTAACATGTCGTATGTGTAAGGGAAGGCATCCCTTTCCCACAAAGCCTCCCACTCCTCACAGCTCCAAATCTCTCTGCCTCACTTTTTGAAGTTTTCCTTTTTCCACAGGGGTAGCCACTTGGTGCAACCCTCTACTACCATCCATGAATTGCAGTAGATATAAATGGGTTTTGTATAGCCTGACCTTAGTTACAGTTCATAGTTGGCCACGTCATCTACAGTGGCCAGCTCAGCATACTGTGCACTTTGTCCGTTTCCCTCCATTACAAGCTTCTTACCATCTTGAACCCATATGGCAGCACTCCTTCAGGTGCAACCCTTGGCTGAGCTGTCGGTAAACCAAACTTTTACATCTTCTGATGTTTCCATGTCAGGAGAGAAGGGAGGTGCTTCTTTGATGGGAGATGGTTCCTCAGAGCTGGCTGCATTTGCTTATATGTTAACCATGCTTTCTGTGACTTTTTCCACTAGTGCTGGACGTCCCTTTGGGGTTACCCACTAAGCCTGACTTAAAATATAATAGATCCATTTTTGCGCTGTTGTTTCTTGGGCTTTCCCTCTGGGTGGGAGGTGTCGATCAGATAATGCCATTCCCAGGATGGGTACCGGGATGGTTATGACAGTGAGTAACTCTCCTCTCAGGGACTCTGTGGCTTCTAAAGCTGTGGCTGCCGCCCACAGCATTTGTTGTAGCAGGGTGTATTGGGCTTCAGCCCCTTTCCAGCCTCAGCTCCAAAACCCAAGGGGCTTTCCCTCTGCCTTAGGTGTATCCGTCTGCCATAAGATCCAGTGGGGCCCCCTGTTGGACATGTTTACATGGAGCCAGGGATCCCCTTCTGGGTGTTGTGCTGCTAGGGAGGTGTGCATGGTTACCACCCCCTTGAGGGCCTGCATGGCATGTTCGTTTTCAGGGCCCCATTAGTAACTTCAGTAACTTCAGTACCAGAAGTTAAGTGTTTCCAGCTGGGCTTGCAGTTCTTTTACGTTGTTGAGGGCAGGGGTATCTACCAGGCTCTGCAGCTCTTTAGCTGGTATGGTGGGTCCACCTTGTTGCCATTAGATTCCCAGGAATTCGCACTGGGGCTCAACTTCTTGGATCTTTTTGCTGGACAGTGTGAACCCAAATGCCTGCACTTTCTCATTTAGGGATTTGAAAGCACAAATGGTTAATACCTGGTCCTGGCCCCCCACCATGACGTCGTCGACATACTGCCAGACATGCACCTTTGGGTGACTCAATTGGACTTCATGGACCATGACTGCTAGCACTCCATGGGCCAAGGTGGGGCTGTGCACCTAATCCTGGGGTAGGACTGTGTAGGTGTACTGCTGTCCCAGCCATGTCAAGGCAAACAAAGGTCAGTAATCTTCATGGATGGGGATAGTAAAGAACATGTCTTTAATGTCCATGGATCCCATCCACTGGGGGCCATAACATCTAATGTTTTCTGTTAATGCAGGCATGGATGGGACTGTGGCCATCAGATGGTCGGTGGTGGCATTCAAAGCCCTAAAGTCAATAGTCAATCACTGATCCCCATTTGTTTTACGTACTGGCCACACCAGGTTGTTATATGGAGAATGGGTTCAAATGATGATTTCATCCTCCAGCTGCCAATTTATGATGTCCTGGATGGGTTGTGTTGCTTCGGGGAGGGAGGGGGTGCGGTATTGAGGCTGGTGTACCCCCTTCATGGCTGGCAGGGCGAGTAGGATCATGGAACATCGGGCTACCGCCGTCATTACATCCTCCTGCTCACCTTCCTGAACTGTGGCACATCC